AAACCACCTCACCAGCTCAAGGTCCATTCGGGCCTCGGCGCGCCGTCCCCGCCGGGGTCGCCGGGCGCCCCAGCCGCCACTTTCTATAGGGGGCACTGCAGGGTTGTGGAATATGGAGCGGGAAAGTTCCCCGAAAACTTTGACACCCCCCCAAAAATAGAAACTTTTTCTCCCAAGCGCACTCGGGAGCCCTGACGAGCGGGGGCGAGACGGTCGTCTCCGCGCCGCCTGTCCGGAGATCGGGGTCTCTGGGCCCTGTTTCCCAGGGAATGGTCTGCTGCCCTCTCCCCCCACCCGAGACGGCGAGGAGCCGGCCGAGTGCAGCGGGCAGGGCCGAGGGAAGCCAGCTCCGTACGTCTGGCGACCCGGGAGCCTGAGCCGCCTGAACCGGCGGAGGGCCGGCGGCCGCGCTTCCCGAGCCGGGGCTGGGGCGGGAGCAGCTTCCCTTCCCGGACGAGCCGCGACCACCGCGGAGCCTGCGGGGCCGGGCCTACTTTCTATGATAAACGAACTTTACACGCTCGCTCTTGGACAATTTCTGAGCGTTTCCCGGCTGCTGAGCACCGGTATTGCAGAGACAAATCCAGCAAAACCGAAGCCGTTGTCTGCCACTCACAAAGGACTCCCGGGCCGGCGCGGCCCCGAAATGGGGTGCCAGGAGGGCCCGCATAGGGCTTGAACGCACTAGCCGAGCACATAAGGCATTCCTCCGCCCCGTACATTAGAATGTATCTAAGCATTAGTTGTGAAACTAAGAATTCACTAAAAAATACCTTTGGAGAAATTTTCGAAATGCATACTAAGATAAAAAGAAAATATAGAGCCCGAGTACAGGGCTGGCGAGTTCATTTCGAGGATGGGGCGAAGGTTTCCCGAGTCAGGGGACTGGGAGAGACGCGTGCGGGGAGCCTTCCCGGGCCAGGCAAGAGGCACGGCGCCACCGAGCCGTGGTTGCCGCAGACTGCGGGAAGCTGCGCGCACGTGTAGCGACCCCTGGAAAGACAGACCCCGTTTCTCTCGTGGAGGAATTCCCGGGGCGCCACGTCAGCTCAGGAGATATTTTACCCTAGGAGGGAGAGTTCTACTCCCACTCGGCTTGCAATCCCCCGTTATCTTCCCCTCTCCCCAGGGAGATCTGACCCCCGTTACACCGTCAAGACCCCCACCACACACACTTCCCTTGCAGGGGACAGATATTAATTTGTAAAGAGCAAACTGAACGTTGGCATGGGTAAGAACATCAGATTAAAAACGTGGTCCGCGCTCTGTTTCTTCCTGGTGAGCACTCAACGCCTTGCTAAACCGTGGAAGGTTCTCCTCGCCCTCTCCCCCAGGCTGGAGCCTGACAGAGACCTGTTTTATTCATCTTTGTACCAACTGCCATCTAGTCTGGTTTGGAGCAAGCGCCAGATAAATGTTTGTTAAATACGTGCATGAATGAATTAAAGACTTGAGATTTCCCCCAACTACTGACCTCCCTAGAGTGCCTTTGAGCCTTAGAACCCTTATCTATTAAGAGGGGAAAATAAAATAAAGTGGGGTTTTCATAATCCTTGTAATCCGCGTCCTGCCTACCTCTCTGGAGCTATAGGGAAGATCAAATGAGATAGCTTTGTGAGTTTTCTGGTGCTGAGCAGATATGATATAGGATGGTTATTCATTGATTCCCTTTGGCCGGAAAGCTTAACAAAGTAATTTCTGGGCTTGTGTTTCAGCAGATGGTAGTGGCCCTTCCTGGTCAGTCTTAAATATTTATTGCAGGACAATCTCATTCTTACATTCAGGAAATCAATCAAGCTTCCATTTCTTACAGAGACATGAAATGTGCTTGCAGACATAAATAATGGAAGAAAAATCCTCGTAGTCCCCAAACAGCCACCCCAAGCAACCCAAGAGCCCAACGTCAGTAAAATCAAGAATCTCAGGGATTGGCATAGCAACCCCAAGGCAGCAGCCAGCCGTGCAGCCAATCCCTTTCAAGGGTCAGGCATGGGATTGTGCACGTGCCCACAATGGTGCAAACTGAATAGTGCACACCGACCAGGATTCTGCTATAGTGCACGCCCTGACCCACATTGGAAAGGAGATGGAGACGGATGTAAATTATTACAGTTGAATGTTCCTTGGCTGTTGTATTTTCCTGCCAAGTGGCTTAGGCCTGATTTTTTTAATTATTTTTTTTTAAAGCATTCCCTCATGGCCAAGTGTGTGTTTCCTTGGAGTTGGAATCTAGGTTGATGGTTTTATATTTTAAAAGCTTTCATTGTGACTCATTCTTGGCTTGGGAGAGGATCCCGTAATACTCCCCAAGTTTGTCCTCTTTCATGGGCTCTGGACCCACTTTCGAACATTTTTGTCTGTGGAGCCAAGAAGTCACTTAGGGGACAAGTGTTTCGTTCTTTTTTTGCCATTTTAATCAGTGCTGAAGGGAGCTGTAAACATGGGTTTTCCCGGCTGACAGCCGCAGGGCAGGGGCAGACAGAGTGCTGACAGGTGAATGGTAAGGCAGAATGTACCAGCCGGGCCCAACTCACACCTGTGCTGAAGGAGTTTGTAGGACACGGGGCCCAGAAAGCTTCTGCACAGGCCTAGCACATAGTAAACACTCCCTACCTGGGCCGCGGGGTTCCTTTGCACAGTGGCTGTCCTGATAGGAAGTTAACAGATACTCTACTCCCTCTGAGTAACATCACCACAAACTCCAAAGAGGAGAACTTGGCAGTGGGAACTGGAAGTTCTCCAAACACATTTTCCAGATCCTTGTTCTGTGGTTTGGAATTCTCAAGGTGCCTACAGTGGCCTCTCAGGTTTTATTGCCTTCGGTGGACATCTTTTCATTTAAGAGCCCGTGGTATGGTGCACACAGTGAACATGCTTCACTGCTAACCAAAAGGTTGTAGGTACAAGCTCACCCAGAGGAACTTCAGAAGAAATGCCTGATGATCTGCATCCATTGTAAACTCTCTGACACACTTGGGTTAGCTATGAGTTGAAATTGATTCCTCAGGACTGGGTTTTGGATTTAAGGTTGGACTTTCTAGCTCCTATCTGAGTAGATGGGTGGCCATTCTTTTTTAAGATGAATAGAAAGAGCCCCTAAGGATTTAAAACAAAAATCTCCTATCTACAGATCCAACCTAACAAATGGATTCTGGCCAGATTCAGGAAACAGCAACTTGGTATGCTGTCTTTCCCCAACAGCTCCTCAAAATCTTGAGTATTTCCAATGTCAGAAAATCTCCCAGCTAGCTCTCTTCAGCCTCTCCACCTCTCCCAAGCAGAGACCCCGGAGAAAGTCAACAGCTCTGTGTTTTTCCCAGACTCTATTATCTTTTTCTACCAGACAATTCAATTCAGTCGGCATTTCTACAAATTGAGCTATGACTCTGTTAGCTCTGGCCAGGCACCGGTGAAAGACAAGAGACGGAGCGCAGCCCCACCGTCCAGGGATTTGCACTTACTTGGTTGTTAGTTGTTATGTGCCGTGCAGTCAGTTCTGACTCATAGTGACCTTGTACAGGTTTCTGAGGCTGTAAATCTTTATGGGAGCAAAAAGCCTCATCTTTCTCCAGCGGAACAGCTGGTAGTTTCGAACTGCTGACCTTAAGGTTCACAGTCCGATTCATAACTACTACGCTACCAGAGCTAGGCCCAAATTCTGCTTCTCATGTGGGTTTCCAA